ATAATGATTTGTTCTTACATTTAGTTTATGAAAATTCTGTAAACAAAATTAGAATTTAATTTCAGACACCTGTTTTTAAAAATTATTTTATTAAATAATCTTAACATTAATTGAAACCTAATGGCTAAAAATTTTTAATTATAATATTGGATACAGTAAGAAAGAATACTATTATTAGAATTTTTCTTTTTAAAATAAAATTTATTTGCTAACAGATTTTTATATTTGACAGTGTCAATTAGAACAGATTTTACAAACTATATGTACAAAAATGTAGCAAATTTTTATATATTAGTACTATGGTAAAAGAATTTTAAATTTCATTATTAATCCTTGTATATCCTGTGTATTTCTTGCTCAAAAAATATCTAAATAAAGAAGAAAATAATTCAACTATTAAAATATTTTTCTTTTACACATTTGGTTTGTAATAATTGACAAAGTTGATTCTTTGTATAGAATGACAATCTAAATGTGATTAGATTTACTGTTACCGTATTTTCATGGATTGTCTGGCATGTCGGTCTATCTGGGGAGCAGATATTTCCATACGGTAAAAACCTGCATGCTGGTTTAAGTGAGGTTATACATCCCTTCTAGAGGGTGCATTAAAAAATGAACACATTTTTATTTTAAAACTGTAAAACTGTTAGGATTACATCAAAAACTATGATTATATGTTTAATTTCTTCATTTTGTCTTCTTTCTAACAATGTAAAATATTCGTGAATGCCAAAAGTTCTCTCTTTTTTTTGGTGTTTAATTTATTGTAATTTGATTCAAAAAACAAAAAATAAACATATTAAATTTCAGAAACTCATTGTAAATTACCTGATCTTATACCCATTAACATCCACTTTGTATGAAATTTGAGAGGAAGATGTTATTTTTGTCAAGGTAGATTGTCAGTGTAATCAACACTGACTAACTACTACTACTTACTTACTACTACTACTAAGTCATTATCTTGTAAATGAAAATTTTCTTTAACAATTAACAACTAGTTTTGTTAGATCTGATTTTATTTTTTGTAATTTAACTGGAATGGCAGTAACCCCCGTTATATGCAGCATGCCAGTCAATCTACAAAAATATGATAATTGCTTGCCTTTTGCACAGTTAACTATTTTTAATCAGAATTTCTCACATTAACATATTTATTACTATTAACAAATTTCATTTATCAGGGTAATAGACAAACATTTCAACATAAAAGATATCAAAGCTACATGGGTACATTACATTTTACCAATATTTACAAATACTTAAATATATTTTAAGACTTTATATATTAAATAGCTATATAATAAATATTCCAGAATCTTAATTAATGCAATGTTTTTAAATTTGCCACTGGTTCTTGTGACTTTGGGAAATTGAAGTAGTGGGCTTTGTATTAAACGACATAACATAATTGTTATTGAATTTACAGAAGCACAACACACTTTGTATTATATATTAGCCAATATTTTGTGTTAACCAAATTCATGAACATTGAAATGCCTAGCTTTGTCCATATGACCACAAAGTCAAGCTCGGATTTAAAATATAACAATATTATATTAAATAAATTTTATATATAAATACATAAATTTTAACTCACAGCAGTGTCTTTCATAACAATCCTTTTATGAGAAACTAATAAGGCTTCTAAAGGTTTGATGACTCGTCTCAGATATGACTCATCTTTATGATTAAGGTACAGATATTGAGCATCTAAAACATCATGCATTGTCACTAATCCATCCTAAAAATAGATATTAAGTAATTAAATTGAAAATTACTTTATTAAATTCAATTTTAGAAACTTTTACCTTTTCTGACTGAATCCCAGATCGAACTCTTCTCAATTCTTGCATTTGACCTCCAGTACCCAGTGATAAACCCAAATGAACACACAGTGTTCTTATGTAAGTTCCAGCCTCACAGCTAACCCAAAATAATCCTAAATTTACAATTTGAAATAAAATTATATATTTCAATGTAAAATGCTATATGAACACTAATTAAAACTGTTTTACTTACCCATGTTCTGCTCTTGTTTATATTCTAAAAATTTGATTTCATAGATTGTCCGAACTCTGAGTTGTCGTTTCACTGCAGATATAAGAGGTGGTCTTTGAAACAATGCACCCGTCAATGACTCTACTGTCTGAATAAATATTAAATGCATTTTTTTTAAAAAACCAAATTATATTTTGACTTTTAGAAATATTTACGTATACTAAAAATTCTGAGATTACAAATTATCTAGAAAAATCACTGTATATGAAGAATTTTGATAATTAAGATTTTATTCATTCTAATGTACTTTCAGTAGTTTTCATATTATTCTAAGTTTTTCTTTTTTAATAAAATTTTTAATAAAATCCTTAATTAATAAAATAAATAAAATCCTTAAATTAATATAATTTAATATACTGATAGAGTTGGTAATATATACAAAACAGTTTTTAAAATTAAATGACATTTTAATTTTAAAAACTATTTTGTATATATTACCAACTCTATCAGTATATGTCCCCTTTCAATAATTATAGTCTTAGATAATTAATAATTTATTTAATCAAATACTTAAGATAATAATTGCAAAACTTACTTTTGCTACTTGATTTATACTTTCGGGAGCACTATGAAGTTGAAAAATGCAGACATATTCTTTTCCAGCACCCTGCTGTGATTTAACGAGACGTGTTGCTCTTTCAATACATACAATTAAGCATCCCGTTACTTTTGGATCCAAAGTACCACTATGTCCAGTCTTCTGAACTCCAAGAATCCTTTTAATCCAAGCCACGACTTCATGAGAAGATGGATTAGATGGTTTATCAAGATTTATAAAACCAGATCTGATATATTCTTGAATTTCACGTTTTAATGGAGAACATCCAGAAGGAAGAGGCGTATAATGATTTGTTCTTACATTTAGTTTATGAAAATTCTGTAAACAAAATTAGAATTTAATTTCAGACACCTGTTTTTAAAAATTATTTTATTAAATAATCTTAACATTAATTGAAACCTAATGGCTAAAAATTTTTAATTATAATATTGGATACAGTAAGAAAGAATACTATTATTAGAATTTTTCTTTTTAAAATAAAATTTATTTGCTAACAGATTTTTATATTTGACAGTGTCAATTAGAACAGATTTTACAAACTATATGTACAAAAATGTAGCAAATTTTTATATATTAGTACTATGGTAAAAGAATTTTAAATTTCATTATTAATCCTTGTATATCCTGTGTATTTCTTGCTCAAAAAATATCTAAATAAAGAAGAAAATAATTCAACTATTAAAATATTTNATTAGATATTTTATTCGTTATATCGTACAATAATTAAACAAATAACATTATACTAGTCACTAGTCTATTCAATGCAGTACGAATTTGGCATTAGCTTTGGCTCGCGGCATCGGAATTTTGAAGTAAAAGGGGCGACGATTCGTTACAGGTTGAGAAACACTGCCTTAGAATAAAAAAGAATGGTTTGAATGTTTCTCAAAAGAATTTCAAAATTATACAATACTGCTCTCACTCATATATTGTCAAGCAGCAGGAACAGTCTTTTTTTTCTATGAAAATGAATCTTTATTAACTATATTTTTATCATATACTATGAATTTATTTCATAAATTCGGACTTTCACTGTCATATTTACCTAACTCTATTCTTCATTCCATAAATATAATAATGAAAAATCTTCTACATTGCTGCACATGAACAAAATAAAAATAAGTTTGTAGATGAGAACATTGAATTTTATTTCTACATGCACTTAGATAAAACAGATTTAAATTGCTAAACCTGTCATATTTAAAATATATTCCATTATAATTAAACATAGCCAATCAGGGAGTAATATTTGAAAGAAATAAAACTATTAAAAACTTAATTACCTACCTTTAATAACAAGGGCCACTGATTAGCATTTAACTGTCCTTCTTTTGACGATGGTTCTATATAAAAATTACCTTCTGCCTGAATGTCCTAAAAAAATAACGAACATTTATGAAGGAAAATCATTAAATAATAGGAATTTTGATCTAAAATTCATGGAGATGTATGCACCATAAAAAATCATCTTATTGCAAAATGACTCCTAGCAATACACCATAGAGGAGTTGTGAGGATTAAGTGGTATGCATCAGCACAATAGTTTGTACAACATGGCTGTTTTACTGTCGAATTACATCATAGAAGAACAATGAAGTGTCAATTTTTTTTTATGGTCAGAGGAAGTAACACCTTCCAAACCATATAAGTGAATAAAGGTTCAACATAGAAACAGTTGTTTGAGTCAAGAGTGTGTTTGAACAGGTGGAAAGATTTAAAAACATCAGTGATGAATACCAGTTTGCATTGCAACTGAGTCAGTGAAACAGCAGATCAAACAGAAAATCTGTGACTACAAGAAAGTTACTGTTGTTAAAATTGCTGTGGAATTAACATGAGTCACAGCTCTGTATACAATACTAAGCATTATGATTGTGGATATAGAAGAGTGTGTAGTAAGATGGGTCTGTTGATCACAAGCATGCATGGCATATGATTTGTCAGGAGATTTAGATTGCTATGCCTATGAAGATGCTTTTCTTCATTGAAGTGTGACAAGAGACAAATCCTGGATGCATCATTATGAACCAGAGAGGAAGATCTCCCAATGTAGTGGAAGCATATATTGTCTCTAGTCAACAAAAAATTCAAGACACAGGCTTCTACTGGAAAAGTGATACTGAAGATATTTTGGGATGCCAATGGTCCTATATTAGTGCACTTCCACGAAAAGGATAAAACTGACTAGTCTGTTCAACCCTTTTCTTGGAAATGCACTAAAACAGTGACATGCTGGTGAAGCCCACAATGTGATTGAAATGTCACAAACATCTCTCAAAAGGCATTTTGCTGCTTCATGCAATGCCTGGCCCCATACAGCTGCATATATAATGAATGTGCAGCTGTATGGGGCTTGAAATTTCAGATGATGAAACATCCACCACACAATCCAGACTTGGCACTATCAGATTTTCATTTGTTTGGACCTTTGAAAGAACAGTTTGCAAGGTCAGAAGTTTGCTGATGACACAAGAAAATAGAATCAATGCAAAGTTGGTTAAAGGCCTACCAAAAAGCTTTTCTTTCTTGAAGGCATGCAGAAGTTTGTGTTGTGAAGTGAATAACTATGTTGAAAAATAAGGCACAAACAATTTCTTAGGCTACGTCTTACATGGAAGCATCCAGTGACCATAGGTAGAAAGAACCATTGTACATGCTTCCAGCTCTCAAGCAACCTCTGTTCAGAGTGGACACATGTTTACAAAATGGCAGTGAGACAACTTTGTCAAATGCATACCATGAAAAACAGTTTTCTACATTGTACTACTGAAACTTCTTGTAAGCAAAAGACAAACAATATTTATAAGAAATAACATGAGTTTGGTGAATTTCACCATTTGTATTGTGAAATAAATCATGATCCATTTGGTGTCGCCATATAGGACATAGTCTTAAGTGCCCTTGTAAAAAGTTATAAAATCCTGTTATGACTTTCCCTTAGAACAGTGTTTCTCAACGGGGTCGATATCGCCCCCATGTGGGCGATTTTCCATGTTGAGGGGCGATTAGTAACAATTTATATTTTTTTGGGGGGTGAAAAACAATTTTCTGGGTGATATAATAAAACATTATATTAAGAATAATTAGATATTTTATTCGTTATATCGTACAATAATTAAACAAATAACATTATACTAGTCACTAGTCTATTCAATGCAGTACGAATTTGG